GTCATGGTCCTCTTCGGGAATGAAGGACAGCCAAGCCTGATGGACTTTCCCCAGTCATTGTTCTTGTTCTCTCTGTAGCATTTAACACACTGGACTACACCTTTTCCTTGACCACACCTTAAGAGATACTCTCTCCCCTCAGAAAATGACCTTGGTGTGTTAACTATTAAAAACTCTTGTAAAGAAATAGAAATTGTGACATTTACCCTGTAACAAATTCAAGGGAAGAGGCTGCCACGGATTAGGATTAAAAGGAGTAATCACATATGTAAATCTTGGTTGGGTACATAAATTTAGCTCTCAGGTATAGCTAACAGACCGGTTGGCTGAGCCCTCAGAGGCTGGGGCACTCACCTCTCATGTAAAGTACCCACATATAAAGGATGTAAGGAAAATAAAGGGAATATCCGCTGCTGTCTCATTTTACAAAGGAACAGGGGCCTTTGTTGCAAGTTTAATAGGAAAAATTCTATGTGTAAGTACTGGTAAAGAATACCGTGTGTGAGGTATACCTGGTAGTGAAGATCTCCCCCCCCTCCCTTTCCAGGGCTTGTCTTTGCCTCAAGGGCTTTTTTTACTAGGTTTAGGGCAGGGGTGGGGAACCAGTGGCCTCTAAGTCACAGGTTCCCCACCCCTCATCTAGGGGGTCAATTTACATTTATATTATTTAAAAAAAATTTTTTTTAGGCAATTGGGGTTAAGTGACTTGCCCAGGGTCACACAGCTAGTAAATATCAAGTGTGTGGTCTGAGGCCCTACATTTATATTATTAGTCAGTCTTATCGGAATGCTACAGCCGGGGGCTTAAGGCTCAAGTCTGTGTCTCTGTTGACCTCCAGCTGTATTGACAATGTGGCTTCCAAGGTTATATAAGGGAATAAAAAGGCTCATCTAGATGGAGTTGGCATCCTTCAGACTTGGAAGATGTCTAAAACAAATCATGCACATCCTGCCCTACCAGACCAGACATGTTTACATATAGGGTGGGGGAAGTCCCATCTCCCCAAATTGAGTGCTGCAGTATCTTTGGTGAATACTCTGTTCATACTATGGTTAAATAGAACCTTGTGTTTAATTGTGGAATGACTAATGAATATCTCATTTTGTTCCAACATTGTACCTAAACTAATGGACTGGCTTGACTTGAGTCTTGCCCATTACAGGGAACTTGTGCTGGCTGGTTTAGGAATCCTATCTCAATGAACCTTAATTGTATTCGTGAGTTCCCCATGGATTCAATTTGCTCTTCCCTCCTAATGTATCTCCAACCTCTTCTCTTTCTAATCAGATCCAAGCTTTTCTCCAAATCCCCACTCTAGCACTAATCACATAGGCTAGTGACTACCAGATTTACTTTTAAATAAAGGAGAATAAAATAACGCCAATGAAAGAAGAGTGGGAGGGGCAGCTAGGTGGGGCAGTGGATAGAGCAGCAGCCCTGAAGTTAGGAGGACCTGAGTTCAAATCCAGCCTCAGATCAAACACTTGACATTTACTAGCTGTGTGACCCTGGGCAAGTCACTTAATCCAACTGCCTAAAAATAAAAAAAGAAAGTAATGGAGAAAAAATTAAAAAAAAAAAGAAGAGTGGACAAAGGGGAGAACAGTTCATTTGGACAGAATGCAGCAAATGCACATGCAGAGCAAAAATGGCTTCTCCTGCTTTTAATTCCTTAAATCCCTCATGGGAAGGAGGGAAAGGCAAAACTCAGAGTCAAGCAACTAATGGGAGTTACTCCTATCCCCAGCACAGAATAGTGGAGAAGAAGAAGATGTCTTATCAATCAACAATCTCAGCTGTCGGGCAGTCTCTCAGCCCCACTTTTGTCCACCCAAAACAACTACATCAGCAGTAATGGCAATGTGACAGTCTGTTAAAGTCTCAAAAAGCAGGAGAGCACATACCTGTTGATCCAGCATGTGGCTCAACCCTGCACTGCACACCTGGTGTGAACATGGGAGATTAAGTTCTTAAGCTTACTCCCTTTAGCTCCCCTTTCCCAGAAATCTCCCAATATATTCCATCATGAACTGGCGGACTCTGGGATAGCATCGGCTTGAATGTCTACCATTTCCCTAGAAATGCAGGTGCCATGCTTATATCTGCAGTTTTTTAAAAATTGGAGAAAAATTTTTAAAAGTATTTAAAAATTTTCCCAATGAAGACTTTCAGTAGATTTTGAACCCATTTGCTAAAAATACAAAAATGCAATTAGTTTTCAAGATCAATTGATATCAAGAAATTTGCTGGCTTATGTTCAACAAAAACCTTTGCATATCATTGGTGGAAGGGACTGAAAGATGAGGACTGTGATTTAGTAAGTGTGGTCAACAATATGCTTCTTGCTTTGAGGCCGTGTGTATCCTTGTGAACTATCTCCTTTAGCTATTACAGCCTTTTAGAACACGGCATCCAAATAAACTGTACTTATGAGACCTTTGAATTGCTGTGTCACAAAATGTTAAACCAAGATTTTCATGTATAATGAAGCATATTCAATCATATTGTGCCTTTCTTGGTAACCCCAGTACTTAGCATGGTGCCTGGCATAGTGAGTATTTTAAAAATGCTTGTTGACTGACATTCCTTTGACTAAGATATCATTAATATGAATAACTTTATCGAGAACAAAAAAGGGTTTTAGATCATTAATAATGAAATATTGAAAATATTTTATTTACTCATTTAAAAATTTTCTATTTTGTGTATGTTATATAATACACATAATTATTAGTTCAGTAGTACATATATGTAATTATAAATAAGTAAATATACATATATTAGAATTACGTGCTTAAATTCTTGACATGTGCTACGTGATCAGAAAAGTTTGGCAAGATGGTCTTGGAGTCAGGGAGCCCTGGGTTCAAGTCCCACTTCTTATACATACAAGATGACCCCTCAGCAAGTCACAACCTCTCAGCATCCCCAGACAGCTCACTAATACTTGAGTTGCAGAACAATCTTGATCTGCATGTGTAGAGGGAGTTTCCTTATCAAGAATTCCCCCTAAAAATGAAATCACAGGTCTGCTCTAAAAATATATATTTTGTATCTATTTATATACATATGTCTTCCCAGATAGGGAATGTAAGCTTCTTGAGGGCCAAGACTTGTGTGCTTTGTCTTTGTATCCCCACCACTTTGCCCCGTACCTGGTATATATTATAATAAATGCTTGTTTATTGACTCATTCAACAAATGTGTAACAAGTCCCTTTTATAAGCAGGGAAACACTGACAGAAGACCTGGGTTCAAATCTTGACAAGTCATTTTTCCTTCTCTAGGGCTCAGGGGAGAATTATCTTTGCCCTGTCTACCTCCCAAGGTGGTTGTGAAGAAAGTGTTTTGTAAACCATTGAGTTCTGACTTACCAGTAAATATGAGATGAACAAGACAGTCCCTGCCCTCAAGGAACTTACAGTCTAATAGAAGAAGACAATGTGCATTGAAAGATGATCCTTCAGGACAATCTTTGTTGCTTCAGTAGACTTTATCTAGCAGCATGTGAGCAAGGGGTTGGGTAGTGAGGGCTGGTAAAGACAGGTACTTAACTGTTGGTTAGCTGCTATGCACCTTGCTGACAATTAGTCTATAGGAACCTCATCTAGCTGCTTAGAATTTGTGCACTTTTTTTGGCCTGTCCTCCACTGGCTCTACAACAGGGCAGAGGGAACCATGTAACTTTCATGGGTACATATCTGGACACAGAAGACAATGGTTTGTAGGAAGTGGTGCAAATCCAAGAATTTTTCCCCCCAGTGAACTTAAGAACTGGAAAGGAGATCAACTCCAATTTTTTCATCATACAGAGGACAGAAATAGTAGAGAGAGGAAGTTACTTCCCCAAGGTCACACAGTAACAGATAGAATCAGAAAGCACCCAAATCTTGATTCCCAGTCCAGACCTTTTCCCACTGTATGATGATGCCCCCTTGATCATTTCTCTTTTATCTGATTCAGTCTTGTGCTACTAAGTATATCAGGGGGCAGGGAGGGAGAGACTCCAACAGATTACCCAACTTACCAATGAGACGGGTAGGTTGACAGAGTCACCCTCCCAGCACCAGTAAGTTTGGGAAGAGAACTTTGACCCCTGAATGCACGTCTAACATATCGCCCAATGAGAGTCCCAAACTCTGTTCTACAGCTCACACATGGGCCAAGACAATTGCTTTGTCCCTTCTACTTCTCCAAATCAAAAGGGTATCCTTATTTCTACCAAATGACACGGTTCTCTTGCCAGGGCTGCAGCTACTGGGGCTGGCTTCTTGGGGGAGTTGATCCTATTGCCTAGTGGAAAAATTGACTTCACCCAGACAGAGCATGAACTGGGTGGGTGGGTGGGTATCCTCTATCCATTTATCTTACAGAGCAATGAGGACACTGAAGGACAAGAGAATTCCACCTTTCTGTTCTAGGTCCTCTAGATCTTTGTGGTGGGAAGAGAGATGAGATCCAGATTAAATGTGTTTTCTGTAGTGGCCCCGGACCACTGCTATAAAAACTCCAGGAGAATTGGGGTTATTTCTGGGTTTCTTAAGGGAGTGGCTCCAAAATTAAACTACTTCCCTCTGCATGTCACCTTCCAGATCCTCCCACTGTGCAAATCGATGCTCTGTCCTTGGTCCTTATCTTGCCCTGCGATCGTTGCCAGGATGTGGGGATAGGGTAGAGTTAGAAATGTAGGGTTTTGGGGTTAGAGAAAAAGACCTCTGTGCCAGGAAACTATGATTTCAGGGATTAGCTTTTTATTAGGCCTTTGTACCGCTCCCCCTCACCCCCCGCAAGGGTTGTTGTTCAGTCATGTCCAACTCTTCATGACCCCGTAAGACCACACTGTCCATGGGATTTTCTTGGCAAAAGATACTGGAGTGGTTTGCCATTTCCTTCTCCAGTGGATTAAGGCAAACAGGTTAAGTGACTTGCCCAGAGTTACAAGTTAGTAAGTATATGAGACTGGATTTGAACTCAGATCTTCCTGATTCCAGGCCCAGGCTCCACTGAGCCACCCAGCTGCCTCCTGCTAACCTTGCAGGGGAGGGGTGGGGGGGGCCACAAAAAAAATGAAAAACACCAAACCCTACATAAAACCTTTAAGGTTTGGTATTTAGCAGCAAATATATGTGCCTGCTGGCCCATGCCAGACTTCTAGCCTGCCCTACTGTTAGACCATAAGCTCCTCAAGAGCTTCTAGCACTCTCTGACAGTTTTTTGCTCATCTTTGCATTCTCCACGATGGCTAGCACAATGCCTGGCACACAGTGGGCACTTGACAAATATCCTGTAAATCTGAATTCCCCTCTGCCCTATCAGGAAAAAATAGTTCAATATAGGGGCTTGTGCCTGAAGCATCTCTGCCTTATACCACAGGGGATAGGTGGGATTTTAGCACAGAGAAGCAGGGAGATCCAGAGTAGGTCCACATTCACTTGATAATGAGAGAGGGGGTGCCAATGAGGGTACTGACTCATCCCTGCTGGGCAGAATCAGGGCCATGGCACTCCAGCCCTGCCTGCATGCAGCAGAACAGAGAATAAGTTCAGGTCATGCAAAGAAAATCAATTCTTAAAGGTCCCTGAGAAAGCTTCTTTTTGGAAACTCAATCCAGTCAAATCAACAAACAAAATTCCAACCAGTCTGCTCTTGCCAAGTGGAGAAAAAAAAAAAGAAGGGTCAGGGTAAGGGAAATAAAACTTACCCCACACTTATTTTCTGTGCTTCATCAATTCACCTCATTAGTTCAAAGAGTTTTAGAGCCAGCTGCTCCAAGAAACAATGTCCTTGTGTATAATTCAAACATACTGTTTTTCTTGGTCTCAGCTAGAACAAATCTGGTTCCCTCTACCCAGTGCTGCTCACAATCTCCCCTAGTTCTCTCAGAGATAGACCTTGTTGCTCCTCCCCAAGAGGTGGGAGAGGCAGAGAGTTGGGAAAAGATACAAGCAATTTCCTCTTTCTGGTCCCCTCAAGGGGAGAGAGCCAGGGGTTCGAGGAGCCTTCGGATCACAGGGTAAGAGAGCTCAAGAAGGTAGTGCTTCATTGGGCCCTGAGTGGGGAGACCAAGGAGACATAATAAAGGGAGGGCTAGCACAGGAGGGCCTAGAGTCAGGGACGATTGGTGGTCTATGCACCCTTGAGCTCCTTGGCTCAGACGCTGGTGACATATGTCACATACATGACTGTTGAGTGTGGCTGAGTCACTGGCTCCTCTGTGTATCTCTGGTTGAGGTCCTTTTCCGAAGCAGGTTCTTCATGGACTCTGTCCATCATTTGTTTCTCCTTATTCTTCTTCTGGAGGATGAAGAAGCTGAGGCCCAAGAACAAGGCAGACGAGATGAGGAAGAAGCTGGCCAGGTAGAAAATATAGTTGAAGTTGCCAGTAGTGTCTAAAATTAGACCTACATGAGAGAGGGAAGCCAGGTTGAGTGAGGGGATGCAGGGAGCTTAGGAGCTATTTCTGAGCCTCATCTTCCCTGATAGATTGCTAAGTCCTGAAAAATCACATAACTGATGTAGCATTTTCCTGTTGACAAAGTGAGATGAGATTCTCTGGGAAGTGGCCAAGGCAAGTAATATTATCACCATTTCATTGTTGAGGAAATAAAGGTCATATAACTAGTTAAGTGGCCAGACCCAGGCTTGGATCCAGGCCTTTGGGTGCCAAATCCCATACTTTTCTCATTATATCATCTACTTAAGTCAGACTGTGTGGTATATGCAATTTCCCTTCCCTGGGCACCTACGCATAGGCTATAATATTTAGATCTGAAAGGGGCCTTAGATACCATCTAGTTTAGCTATCTTGATTTTATAGATGAGGAAACCTGAGGCCTAGAGAGATTAAGTGACTTGCCTGGGATTACAGAGATAGTAACAGAACCAAATCCACTGTTCTTTCCATGATATCACACTTACCTTCATCCCTTCTTTTTTCCTCCCACGGTAAGTTCCCTTTCCCAGATACTACCCCCAGCATCCTTCCCCCAACTGGTAACCTGCTTATCCTCACCAATTAGCGGAGGAGATACGAGGACGGTGAAACTCTCAAGGATGGTGAAGAGGCCCAGGGCACTGGAGAATCTGTTCATGGGCACTATATCCATGAGCACCTGGAACAGCAAAGCCCCGACGCCACTCATGGAGATGCTGAACACCACGCAATAGAAAACCAGCACAGAGAAGCTGGCTGAGATGACACAGATGAAGTTGCTCAGCCCATTTAACAAGGCTGCCAGGGCGAAAAGGTACACACGGTGACCAGCAAACATTGACCAGCCAGACATCACCCCAATCACAGGCCTGAGGAATATGTTGCTGAAGCCAATTATGGAGATAAGCAAAGCAGCCTTGTGTTCTTCTATGTTGTGGTTCAAGGCAAAGGGCACCAGGAAGATTTGGGGGACCATAAAGCCCATCAGCAACCATACTACACTCAGGGTGTAGATGCGGTAGCCCTGGTTCTGGAGGAAGATGTCAAAGGCCAGATGTCTCTGCAGAGCCCGACCACAAGTCAACAGACAACCCGGTTCAGGGACCTTGTTGGGTGGGGGGTAGGCTGTCTCAGCCTTAGGAGCCACAGGCCTCATGACAGACCCACAGACGCAGCAATGAAGGAGGACCCCACCAAAGATCAAGAAGGTGCCTCTCCACCCGAAGTCCTCCAGGAGGTAGCGGGAAAGCAGGGGCCACAGTGAGATGCCAAGGGAGACACCAGATGAGGCCAATGCATTGGCCAGTGCCCGGTGGTGGGAGAAGTAGTGTCCCAACACTGTGATGCCTGCCTGAAAGCTGAAGGACATGCCCAGGCCTGCAGCGAAAGGAAGAGATGCCATCTCAGTGATCCTTCTAGATGGGTCTCCTAAAGCTATGATGGGAGTTGAGGCCCATTCCCCACACCCAACAGTTCCTTAAGGTAGCAATTTTGCCCTTTTCCCCACCCACTTATCTAGCCCAGCTAGACATGGCTTGGCCTCTAGCCCATGACTGAGGCTGCCCCTAGGGCAGAAGCCAGAGTTCACTTCTGGAGCAAGCCAGAACAGCACAGCACCCCTGCCTTTGAACAGCCTGCCCATCTCTTTCTCTCCCCAGCTACGCTTCTCAGGTCTGCTGTCTTCCCTTCCACCTCCCGCTACTATTCCTTCAAGCCCCCACCCCACCAAACCCCGGACTTAGGAGATTAGGGTAAGAAAGAAAGAGGGCAGCTGATGGCTGTCACCTGTGATGAATCCGGCTGTGATGTAGAGCTGGCTAAGGGAGCGGGAGAAGGAGCCGGCCACCATGCCCGACCCAGCCAGGACTCCCCCAAGCATCACTGTCACGCGGCAACCAAAGCGCTCCACCAGTACACTGCAAATGGGCCCTGGGGGGCGGGTGGTGTGAAACCAGAAAGAGAGAGAGTGGGGCAGGTTAGGGATGGAGCCAGAGTCCTGGAGAGTAGTCCTCACTCATCCTATCCCATTCCATAAGATCAGACAGGCTCCAGGTTGAAAGGAACCTCAGTGTCTAATGGTTTCCTGAACAGAAATCCTTTCTGCAACATTCCTGAAAGGACATTTTAAGATCAAAGGGAGGTTTTCCATCCTATCCCACTCCATAGGAATATACAAGCTCCAGGTTGAAAGGAACCTCAGTGTCTAATGGTTTCCTGAACAGAAATCCTTTCTGCAACATTCCTGAACATCATCCAATCTATATATGTGCCTCTAGTGATGCTGAACATGCCACTTCCCGAGGCAGCCCATTCTACCACAAGGCACCTAAGCGGTACAGTGGATAGAGTGTGGGACACGGGGTCAGGAAGATCTGAGTTCAAATTCAGCTTCAGATACTTTCTAGTTTTGTGACCCTGGTGGAGTCAATTAACCTCTGTCTGCCTCAGTTTCCTCAACTGTAAAATGAAGATAATAACAGCACCTACTTCACAGGGCTATTTTGAGGATAAAATGAGTAAGGCTTTTTGCAAACATTAAAACACTATATAAATGCTTATTATTGTAATTGTTGCTGTTAGGAAGTTTTTCCTTTCACAAAGCCTAAAGCTGCCTCTTTGCCATTGCTTCTAGGTCTGCCCTCTGCGGCTGTCTCAGGCTATCTGATTTTCCCAGGTCTTGTGTCCTAAGTAGCTTATTAGGTTGCATGAAGTTAATGATTAAAAGCTTATGTGTAGGTAGCCTTCAGACATGGAACTCTGGAACAAGGATTGGTTAAATCGATTAAGGTATGCTTAGGGGGAAATCTTCCAACCTATTTCTATATCTGATAAGGGCATAGCACAATCTAAGACATAGATATCTGGAAATGAGTTATCACAGGCTATCTGCTACTAGGCGTCTAAGCACCTTGAACCCCACCTCACCCCACTCCCAGCCATCCTATTAACTTTAGTCCCAGTTCCTGTACTCACTATGACTCAGGGCTTTTTTAAAGGTCACCTTTCCCAGTGACCCGGCAATATGAGAAAGTATGAGTATGTGTACAGATTAGAGGTGAATAGGAATGTATATGTGAATGCCAGGGATTACGTGTCAATGTGTATGGGTGCGGGTGTGGGTGTGAACGAACATGATAATATGGATAAGTATATATGTAATCAATCATATGTGATTATAGGAGAAAAGAGCAGGTGTGGATGTGTATGTACATAGTAGCAGAGAGAGCATAAGAGAGGGAATCACAAATCTGAGATTTGAATCTGTAATTTGCTAGCTGCATGACCTTGGGGAAGTCAGTTAAATTCCCTGAGCCACCTCAATTTCCTCATCTGTTAAATGGAGAGAATAATAGTTACCTACTTCATAGGATGGTTCACAGTAAGAATTAAATGATGTAATGAAAACTGTAAAAGTAAAGAGCACTATGAATTGGTCCAACCATTCTAGAAAGCAATTTAGAATTATGTTACATTACTAAAATGTAAACCTTAGACCCAGAGATCTTGCTGCTAGACATCTACCCTGAAGGAGGTCAATGATAAAAAGAAAAGTCTCATATATTCCAAAATATATACAGCTCTATTTGTTAGGACATTTTTCCTTTCACAAAGCCTAAAGCTGCCTCTTCGCAACTGCTTCTAGTTCCATCCTTTGAGGTTACTTTTTGTAGTAGGAAAGAACTGGAAACAAAGAACATAGCCATCAGGCTGAACAAGTAGAGGAGCATGAATGTAATGTATTCTTGCGCTATCAGATATACAAATGTGATGAATACAGAGAAGCATAAGAAAACTTATATGATGAACTGATGCAGAGTGAAAGAACCAGGAAAACAATGTATACAATGACTACAACAATGTAAATGGAAAAAAAAATAAGATAAAAAGTGAATACCATGAAATTATAATGACCAGGTTTGGCCCCAAAGAAGAGCTGCAAGAATTTATTTCTTTAGAGGCTGGTGCTCTACCCACTGCCCCACCTAGCTGCCCCTTTAGACCACCATCTAGAACTTTCCCCTTTCTGGTAGTCCTTTTGTGAAGGAGTTGGGAAGGAGGAAAAAGGATACCTAATATTTGCCAAATATTAAGAGACTTCTGTTGAAGGACTGTTCCATCTTCCATAGGCTCTCAGGGACTATATGGAAGCAGTTTCAGCCTTACCCAACAATTCAACCTCTTGCTCCCCTTCTCCCTCCCTTGGGAAAAGCTGTTCTTTCACCATTGGGTACTGTACCAACAGAAATGTGGAGGGTTCTTACCAAGTATAGAGGACAATATGGGGCAGCTAGGTGGCGTGGTGGATCAAGCACGGCCCTGAAGTCAGGAGGACCTGAGTTCAAATCTGACCTCAGACCAAACACTTGACACTTACTAGTTGTGTGACCCTGAGCAAGTCACTTAACCCCAATTGCCTAGAAGTTTAAAAAAAATTACTTCTTTCTTTGCTTTGCAGATTTAGGGAATTATGGGTATGGAACACTGCCTGCAATGTCCAATTTGGTTCATGTGTTGGTTAGTTTAGTTGAACCAATTTTTTAAAATCTTTTTAAAATTTTTTATTATTAGAGATATCTTCTTGGCAGGAGGCTTAGATTGAATAAATCAGTCAGTTTGATCCCCACTAATTAGTTCAACATTCCACAGACACTTATTAAGTAGCTATTATGTTCTAAGCATGGGGGCTAGGAAGGAAAAGACAAAAATGAAACAACACTTTCCCTCCAAGTAGCTTACATCTGATTAGGGGGGAAGGGAATAAGCATCTCTTAGGGACTTATGTGCTCAGCATTGTGCTAAGGGCTGAACAGATATGTCAGTTGATCGTCACGACAATATTGTAAAGAAGATGCTATTATAATCCCCAATTTACAGATGAGGAAACTAAGGCAGACAGCGATTAAGTGACTTGTCCAGGGTCTCTCAACCAGTAAGTGTCTGAAGCAGGATTTGAACTAAGGTCTTCCTGACTCCAAGTCCAGTATTCTATCCATTGTGCCACATAAGTTAGCATAAGGAACATTAACATGTATATGAAAGTCTCTTAGTATGAAGTTAGTATACCTCAGAAGTAGGACTTGAATCTAGGGCTGGCTGACCCTCAGTCTCCTCTCCCCGCCACCATTCCTTTGTAAAAGGGCCAGAAATCTATCCCTTCTTCTCCTGCCAGGAGATTCCCTGGAGTAGGGTCTTTTACCCCCACTGCTGGAGGATGAGTTAAGGACAGGTAGTCTCTGTTCCCATCTCTTTGCCAGCTCTTGTAATCTATCTCACCACAACAAGTCTCATAAGAAAGCAAGGAAAAACATTTCCTGGTGATTGGAAGACAGCTGGGAGACCCAGCATCACATGCTGTGGGCCAAGTTAAGAGGGGAAGAAAGGGAGGGAGAGGAAACCTGAACCAGCTTCTGTTATCCTCTTCATTCTTACTATCTAGGGCCAAGCTGAGGGAGGTAGCATGTGTGCAAGGGGTATGGGTAGGTGTATGGGTGTGTGTGGTGTGTGTGTGTGTGTGTGTGTGTGTGTGTGTGTGTGTGTGTGTGTGTGTGTGTGTGTGTGAAACAGACCCGGTCCAAGGGGTTGGCAGAGGATTTCCTTCTCTGTCGGGCACTCTGAACATACTGGCTCCTTTCCTTGTTCTTCCCTGGAGACCTCCTGGAACTGGCTGAGATCAGGAATGATCTCAATGGCAACCCATTCTAGGAGGTTACTACGACAAAGGCTGAAATCAACACTCTTGCCGGGAAGCAGCTACTGAAGCAACCTCTAGGGACCACGGGGAAAAAGGACAGTCCCAGCAGAGGCTGATTCAGGGCCTGAGAGGGAGAAATGGCTTACGTTTGTAATAGCCTAAATAAATATATTGTCCTACAGAGTTGTGTTTTTTTTTAAAGGCAATTAGGGTTAAGTGACGTGCCCAGAGCCACACAGCTACCTATAGAGTTATAAGAGAGACAGTCCATCATAGTGAACAGGGAATCAGCCTCATATCCAGAAAGACCTGGGTTCAAGTCTTGCCTCTGGGATATACAAGCAAGTCACTTAACCTCTCAGAGGTCGAGGCAACTCTCTAAGGCTATAATTTGCAGAGAAGGTGTTGGCCTGCATTGGTAGAAGGAATTTCTTCACCTGGGTGTTCCCCGTACTAATGAAATCACAGGTGGAGTCCCTTTGCCCATCATCAAGTGCTTTATTTATCATTTTATTTGATCCTCAGAAGTTCTGTGAAGTAGATAAAACCAATTATAAATGACATTTATACAGTGTTTTATAGTTTGCAAGGCACTTTGTGTAGCATGTAAAGTGGCAATGCATGATGGAGGGGCACAGGCACAGATATCCCCTGTCAGGGCATGATAATTGGCTGCTGAACAGGAACCCCACCCCTAAGGGCTCCTATTCCTGCTGGCTGCCAGATGTAAGGGTGACTCTTAGGTTATAGGGTTGGTGTGTGTGGGGTGCTTTTCTCTATAAGCTGTAAGCTTATAGCCTCTTAGAGAAGCCTATATCCAGGATGGGGATATTCCTTCTTCATATCTTCTCTGCTTTGGTACAGGGCCTTGTGAGATCTCTAAAGGCAACTGGCTCTTTCCTAGGTACTAGGGCATCAGGGTATCAGTTTCCAGAGCAGTTGGGTCATAAATAGTGGCAGAGGTTGACCAGCCTCTGGTCAGAGAGGGATCTTTCCCTTGACTAGGGAAAGATTTTAGGGGATAAGAAAGAATTCACTCAAGCACTGATGGCGCTGTACACAGTGGAGGTAAAATATGAAATAGTTAATAGTTAAGACTGTTGCAAATGTCACAGTGAGGCCTCTTAAGGGACTGTAATCATTCTATGATTCTTTACTGCCTGGTATTCCTCTGTGTGGGAATAAAACTGCTTGTGTCATACCTGATTCATCTTTGTTTGTATTCTGAGTATTTTTTTTACCTCCTCCCAACCCCGACTCTCCCACTGGGAAGAACCCCTTAGATTAGGATGAAAAATAGACTTGTTCATGTGACTAATGTGGAAATATATTTTGGATGACTTCCTATTATAATAGGTATTATATTTCTTACCTTCTCAATGGGTAGTAGGAGGGAGAAAATTTGAAACTGAAAATAAATTTTCTCTTAAAAAATGAAAACAAACCAACAACAAAAAAAAGAGTTGTTCCTCTAAATTGAAGTGACCTCATCCACCTAAGGTCACAAAGCAGCTAGGTAGTATAGTGGACAGAGAGCTTTGCTTGGAGTCAGGAGGACCCACGTTCAAATCCAGCCTCAGACACTTACCAGCTATAAAAACCTGGGCAAATCACTTAAGGTTGGTCTGCCTCAGTGTCTTCAACTGTAAAATGGAGATAACAATAATACCTACCTCCCAAGGTTGTTGTGAAGATAAATGAAAAGCACTTAAACCAATGCCTGGCACACAGCTGGCACTTAATAAATGCTTATTTCTTTCCTTCCTGTCAGTGTTCCCACCCCTATGCCTCCAGCTCTCCAGAAAGTACCAGGGAGAGCTATATTTCTTGGTTCCACTATCTCACATATTCATGTACTGGTCCCTCACTTCCTTTTCCCACAGTGATGAGAATTCTCATTGTATCCAGTGCAGCCATAGTGATTGCTTCCTGGATGGCTTCTATCTCCTTCCGGAACAAGCTGCCTCTCATCCCTGAACACAGACAGTTCTGGAAACACTCTAAGGAACAAGAAGATCATAAGCTCATAGTATCCAGGTCAGAGATCTAGAGCTTGAATGGACTATAGAGACCATCTAATCTAACCTCCTTATTTTGCAGATGAGGAAACTGAGACCCAGAGAAAGTAAGTCATTTACTCAAGGTAGTAAATGGTAGATTGAAGATCTGAATCTAGGTCCTGTGACTTCCAAGTTCAATGATGTTGTAAGTAACAGGAGAGTCTTAAGAATAATTATAGCATACTGGCAAGTAACCTACAACTAAATTTGGAGACATCCACAGCCAGCCTCATTCCAGTAGAGAGCCAATTCCAGTGTTCAGGGAATCCTCCAGAGCATGAGACTCAGTAGCACTGGGCAACACCACTAGCTGCTATCCCTCAGCCTAATCACATCCCAGTCTAGAAGGGGAAAAGAATCATCTGAGTCTGTTAGGGGTGGGCAAGGGAGCCTGATAAAAAGTAAATGGAAAACCCAGTTCAAGCACTGCATTTGTAGAATAAAGACTTTTAGATCCTTGATGCTTCATATAAAAAAGTGGGAAGTAATTCTAGGACTGGCTTGAAGATTTTTTTTTATTTTGTCTCTAATTTTTTATGGAAATTTCTTCTTTTTTACTTCTTCATTTTCTAACACCACTCCCCTTTATAACAAAGGATAAAAGAGAAAAAAGCAGATCAACAACAACGAAAATCAGCCAAATCCATGATTACATGCCACGTTCCATACTCATAGTACTCCAACCTCAAAAAGAGAAAGTAGGGAGAGGTGTGTTGTAATGTCTTTGCTTGAAGATGTTTTAAAGAATTTTGTCTGTTGAGAGCAGGGAAAGGAGATAAAAGTTGAAAAAGGATTTTAGCCCAGCAATATCACCCCTAGGTCTGTATAACAAAGAGATAAAACACAAAAATGAAAAGGACCTATATGTACAAAAATATTCATAGCAGCTCTTTTTGTGGTGGCAAAGTACTGGAAATTGAGGGGATGTCCATCAACTGAAGAATGGCTGAACCAGTTGTGGTATATGATTGTGATGAAATACTATTGTGTTATAAGAAATGATGAGCAGGATGCTCTCAGAAAAACCTGGAAAGACTTGCACGAACTAATGCAAAGTGAAAGGAGAAGAACCAGGAGAATATTGAACACAGTAACAGCAATACTACATGATGATCATCTGTGAATGACTTAGCTATTCTCAGCAATATAATGATCAAAGATAATTCCAAAGGACTTATGATGAAAAATGCTATCCATCTCCAGAGAAAAAAACTATTGGAGTCTGAATGCAGATTGAAGCATACTTATTTCTTAAACTTTCTTTTTCTTTTCTTTTTTTGGTCTCTTTTCGTTTACAACATGACTTCCATGGAAATATATTTTACTTGACTGCCATGTATAGCTTATATCAAATTGCTTGCCTTCTCAATGAAGGGGGAAGGGAAGGAAGGAGGGAGAGAATTTGAAACTCAAATTTTTAAGGAACAAATATTAAAAATTGTTTTGACATGTAAGTGGGGAGGGAAATAACATATTAAAATGCTGAGAAAAAGGGTCTTTGGACTCTTTGCAGAAAGTTTAGCACCAGATGCTGAGCAGGAAGAGGAGACAACTGGACTTAGGTTCAAATCCCAGCTCTGCTTCTTACAAGCTGAATGACCTTGAACAAGTCACTTAACCTGCTTATTTATAAAAGGGTAATTAAAATACTTCATACGCAAGCTTTCTATGAAGAGCAAAGGAAATGACATATATAAATGTGCTATAAAAAGTACCATTTATTAATTTTTTTCTAGGCAATGGATTAAGTGACTTGCCCAGGGTCACACAGCTAGTAAATGTTATGTGTCTGAGGTAGGATTTGAACTCAGGTCCTCCTGACTCCAGGGTCTGTGCTCTTATCCACTGCACCACCTAGCTGCCCCTCTAAAAAGTATTATTAACTCATATGTCAAAGCAATAAGTTGGACTAGATGGTCTCTAAGGTCCCTTCTTGCTCTCACATCTTAGGATTCTATAATTCATTCCACCAACCAGCTGTGTGACCTTGGGCAAGTCATTAGACCACAGGTTCTACTTAAGTAAAATGAGGGGGTTAGATTAGATGCTTTCTTTTTTTTTTAATTTAAATTTAAATTTTTTTTTTAATTTTTAGGCAATTAGGATTAAGTGACTTGCCCAGGGTCACACAGCTAGCAAGCGTCAAGTGTTTGGTCTGAGGCTGGATTTGAACTCAGGTCCTCCCGACTTCAGGGCTGGTGCACCACCTAGCTGTCCCCTTAGATGCTTTCTATGAGCCATTTTTCAGCTCTAATACCCTGATCCTAGGAGTCAGGACTCTAATGAGCATGAAGCCCCTGACCCCACTCCTTCAGGCTCATGGTCTATATTTCCAGTCCCTCCCCTTTGTAGAGAACTCACCTCCAGCATGGAGTAATGCGATCTGGATGGAGGGAAACCAGGATGTCTCGCTGTTGCTGGCTTGGAAATCATGCTGGAGGTCAGCGTAGAAGACACCGATACAAGGAGGGAAGCCCAGTGTCATGCTCTGCACCACCAAGGTGGCCAGCAGCACTACCCAAGACCAGCTGCTTTCTATATTCTCTTGAGCCTGAGGCATTCTCTCCTGCAGGAGTCACCTAGGTTCCGGGAGGAGAAAGATGGGGTCAGGAATCAGGCCAGCGGCAGCCTGGTGGCTGGCCTTCCCTTTTGGCCACCTGGCACATTCGCAGGAAAAGCCTGAGCCCACACAACAGAAACCTGCCCCTCCTTATAGGCACGGCATCTAGTGCTACCCAGGTTCCCCTAAGGGGACACCACCCTCTGAGAGGTGGCAATTGGCCCACGCTTTGGCTCCCAATCTGCTTTGACCCATTTCCTGGAGCCAGGAAGGCAGGAGATAAGGGAGGCGCCTGTAGAGAATGAGTGGGAACAGTAATGTCTGCATGAGGATGAACGGGGCGAGGGAGCGATATCTGAAGTCAGGCCCCCGAGCCTCTGAGAAAGCTAAATTCTCTACCCATCTCTCCCCCAAAAGTTTAGAGCAGAAAAGAAAACACGGCCAACACCATCATTTAACAGAGCAATCAATTGGACAGGAAGGATCTGCTTATGGGCGCACAGGTTATAAAGAGCAGAGGGGAGATTTGAATCTAGATCTGATGCAAAGTGAAAGGAGCAGAACCAGGAGAATACTGAACACAGTAACAGCAATACTACGTGATGATCATCTGTGAATGACTTAGTTATTCTCAGCAATATAATGATCAAAGATAATTCCAAAGGACTTATGATGAAAAATGCTATCCATCTCCAGAGAAAGAACTATTGCAGTCTGAATGCAGATTGAAGCATCCCGCCTTGCCACAAGAGGGAAAGGGGCACTCACTCACTCTACCACACGCCTGATCCTAAGCCCACAGGCGCACAAGGAAGAAATGTTAAAAGCTTCCTACCCAGGCTCTCTTTATGCTAAGGCCGATTATGTTTTTACTTTCAGGTGTTTGCTGAAGCAAGCGAATTACAGTAGTAAAATTCACCTTCGTTTGCCTTGAGAATGCAAAGGAAAACCAATGAAAAAGTAATCCTATAACCGGTACTTAGCAATTTTTGAATACCTCTTGTTCCACCACTAACTAACCTTCCCCTACCACCTCCTACCTCCATAAGTTACACTCTCAGGGCAGCTAGGTGGTGCAGTGGATAGAGTACTGGCCCTGAAGTCAGGAAGACCTGAGTTCAAACCCGGCCTCAGACCAAACACTTGACACTTACTAGCTGTGTGACCCTGGGCAAGTCACTTAACCCCAACTGCCTAAAAGCAAACAAAACAAAAAAAACCCCAAACATAAGTTACTCTCTCCCAGAACCTCAGTTTCCTCCTTTGTTAGACTAAAGGACCTCTGAGCTCTTTTCTCATGTTGCTGGAATTCTAAGGTTTAGAACTGGTGCTAAATAAATGCTAGTTATTATTATTGTTATTCTTTTGAATGACTCTACATTCCACAGCCTAAAATGCGATTCGAGGTTCCATACCACTTGTTCATTCATTCATTCAACAAACTTTGATGCGGGAAGATATATTATTATAAAAATTACATTCATGATAATCTGCCACAAACATATAATTCAAAAAACATTTATTAAGTGTCTACTGTATGGAAGGCACTATTGCAGATATCCAGATGCACTCCTGTACAGGGCACAAACATATGAGGGTCAAGGCTTCTGTGGAGGGGCCCAGGTGATACTTCAGCACCAGAAGGGACCTCAGTGATTTTTTAGTTCAACCTCCTCATTGTCACAGAGGAAGGATCTAAGGCCCAGAGAAGTTACTAAGGTAACTCATTCAAGATCCCTCACCGAGTGGTACTGAGTGGCAGAGTTGGAATTTGAGCTCAGAACTTCTGAGTCCCGATTCAGCACTTATTTCACTGTATACAAGTGGGACAAGAGGGAGTAGGTACCATGTACCTTGAAGCTCTAAATATCCTGAGATCCTTAAATCTGTTACTTTCTGCCCAATGTTGTGTCAGTCAGTAAGCATCAATTAAGCCCCTACTGTGTGTCAGGCACTATGCTAAGCACTGGAGATGCCAAGATAGGCAAACTCAGACCTTGCCATCAAGGAGCTCACAATCTAATATAGGAGACAACCTGCAAACAGCTGTTTAAATGTGCTAAGTAGAGGATAAATAGGAAATAGTCCAGAGTGAAGGCACTAGAATTAAGGGGAATGATTTCCTTCCATGGTGGTGGTGGTGGTATTCAGTTGTTTCAGTCCTGTCTGACTCTTCATGACCCCATTTAGGGTTTCCTTTGCAAAGATACTGGAATGGTCTGCCATTCCCCTCTCCTTTGTTTTCAAGGCTGGCATTATTTGAGGAGGGGAATCCAACAATTATATAATGTCAAAATTGGAAGAGACCTTTGAAACCCAACCCTTTCATTTCAAGATGAAGAAACTGAGGTCCAAAGTAGGAAAGAGTTTGCTCCAGATCATACAACTAATTAGAGGCAGATCCAAGATTGGAACAAAGATGTCTTGACCACCAAGCCAAACCTCTTTCTAGGGTCTTATGCTGACTCTACTGGGGAAGCCTTGATTGCCCAGCTCAGGAGGTAACTTGGACTATGGAGAACTTAAGATGCCCATTGGGCCAATGGCATCAATATTGTGTCTCCTTATCACTTCCAGAATCAAATACAAAATGCTCTGTTTGGCATTCAAAACCCTTCATAATCTAATCCTGCCCCTACCTTTCCAGTCTTCTTACACCTTACTCGTTAACACGTATTCTTTGATCCAGGGACACCGGTCTCCTGGCTGTTCCAAGAACAAGACACTCCATCTCTCAGTTCCAGGCATTTTCTCTGCCTGTCCCCCATGTCTGGAATGTTCTCTCTCCTCCTCTCCACCTCCTCGATTCCTTGGCTTCTTCAGGTCCCAGCTAAAATGCTACCTTCTACAGGAAACCTATAGGAAGGAAAGCTAGATGGGACGGTAGATAGAGCTCTGAACCTAGAGTCAGGAAGACCTGAGTTCAGATTTTACTAGATGTATGACCTTGGGCAAGTCACTTAATCCTGTTTGCCTCAGTTTCCTCTTCTGTCAAATGAGCTGGAGAAGGAAATGGCAAACCACTCTAGTAACTTTGCCAGTAAAACTCCAAATGGCATCACGGAGAATTGGACACAACTGAACAACAAAAGGAGGGAGGCTATTACCAGGGAGCCCACTCTGCTGACTCCCTCATTTCACCATTTAGGAGCACCAAACACTTCCCTGCCACCTGCTTAAGCCATTAACACCCCTCAAAACTGACATTTAATCTTTGGGACTGAGTGTTTTCTCTGAGGGTGCTTTCTTTAAGGAGTCACAGATGTTCCTTCAGAAGGGTTGAGAGGCCTCTTACCTCAGCCCAGAGCCATGCCCCACCTGTCCCCTTTCTCCTTCTCTACCCCTATCAGAAGATCTAGCTGGAGGTGGTTAAACTGACATGGGCCCCACCTGTGGAATGGTGGCCTGAGTGTTTCATCCCCAAATTCTCCTGACTTCCAGTTTGGAGCCCCTTCTATTCCCCTCCTCTTCATCCCCCATAGCTATCTTCATCCCAAGGACCAGTGACTAGAGCAGACCCGTTGGGATCCACGCGCCTTTCACTCATTTTAGGATTTGTTTCCTCAGCAAATTTGAAAGGTCAAGGGCCATCAGCCGATCCTACTCTGTTCCTGCCCTGATTGTTAGCCAAGTTTACTCAGCCCTGTAACCTGCCTATAAACCCAATCCTACTGCTGCTATCCCAGCCCCTCTCACTTCCCTTCTCTGTCTCTTTTTCTTTCCCTTTTCCCCTTTTCTTTCTTTGTCTCTTCCTGTCATTTGTTATTATTTACCACATAAACTTGACAAACATCAGCAAATATAAACTTTTTATATAATTAAGAATAAAAAAGAAAGACCAGCTAGATGGCACAGTGGATAGAGTACAGGGCCTGCAGTCAGAAGACTTCATCTTCCTGAGTTAAAATACAGCCTTGAACACTTGGTAGCTGTGGGACTGTGGGCAAGTTATTTAATCCTGTTTGCCTCAGTTTTCTCATCTGTAAAAATGAGCCGAAGAAGGAAACGGCAAACCCCCAGCATGTTTACCCCAAATGGGATTATGAAGTTAGACAACTGAAATAACTAAACAGCATGACATAACTGAAGTGGCTAGATGGTACATGGATGAAATGCTAGATTTAGAAGTTAGTGAGACTTGAATTCAAATCCAGCCTAAGTGGCTTACTAGTTGTGAGACCATGGACAAGTCACTTAACCTCTGTCTGCCTCAGTTTTCTCATCTGTAAAATGAGGATGATAATAATAGTCCCTTCCTCCCAGGGTTGTTGTGAGGATGAAATGAAATGATATTTATAAAGTGCTTGACAAACTTTAAAGCACCATATGAATGATAGCTATCATTATGCACAGCTGGTTTTTTAAAAGTATATATTAAATTTATTGTAGTAGTTCCAACACTATCCTGCTTAATGTGTCCCCTTCTGAACTTCTACCTCTTCTTATACACACACATAGTGTTAGTTGCACTATCATTTCTCCCTCTCTCCCCTTTCCAAAAAAAAAAATACCTTTTATTACAGATGAGTAAAGCAAAACAGACCCATACGCTGTCCATATCTAAAAAAGTTTATCTCTTTCTGTACCTCTAGTCAATCATCTTAATTATTATAAGAGTTGAAAACGAAATTCATCATCAGGCCCCTGGAAAGGTGTCTGGTGCCTGCATTAATCATAGCTCTCAAGTCTTTTGCAGTGGTTTTCTTTTACAATATTATACTTATTGTATAAATTGTTCTACTGGTTTGCTTACCTCACTCTGCATCAATTCATATAAATCTTTCCAGGATTCTCTGAATCTGTCCTCTCTGTTCTTTCTTACACCACATTACTATTCCATCACATTCCTATGCTTACTTTTGTTCAACCATTCACCAGCTGATGGGTACCCATTTTGTTTGCAAAAACCAAAAGCACTGCTATAAATATTTCTGTGTATATAGTTCCTTTCCTTCTTTCCTTGATCCCTTTACCTAAAGTAAAAGTATAGTCCAGACAGCTCTTGCTTTATGTAAGTGA